CAAAGCAGACTTACTCCATTGTACGACGAGAGACGACTACCTGCGTCCCATTGTTGATGATGAGGTCGTACAATGGAGTAAGTCTGCTTTGAAGTTGATTTAAACCCTTTGACTTTCAATCTTCGAGCGTCACATCCAAAACTAGGATGCTGCTCCTAGAACACCTCTCGAGTTCCTTCCTCCCTCTTTATTATCCTATGTTGCAATTGCTAACTGCTTTTTCTATAGTGGCTACGTTGAACCGTCTAGCGATGGTATGTATGGAGGTGGTTTCTTGAACCCACCCAAGGCCAGGATATTGCTGCAGCTAGCCATCAGTGCTGGCTATAGTCCGGATCAGATGAGAACCATCTTTGAGTATGATGGATGAGCGAGCCTACAAAATATAATCATAATAAAATTCTTTATTCTAAAATCGAGCGGCAGGGCATAGCGAAAACGGGTTTTGTTATGGTACATTGTCTGGCCACTACCGTACTGCTTGGTCACGAATTCTTGTGCACTCTTAGAACCTCTTGTCTTGTAACTTAGACGTCATTCGCAGAACCATAAACAAATCGTGAAGCGCTGACAGGATGACTACCAAAAAGACACAACTATCACAATCTACCAATTCAAATGCTGGTCATGTTATAGCTGACGGAACCCTGGAGCAAATAGCAGGTCTAATCGTGAAGACCCTCCGCCAACCGTTGGTGTAAGACAACAGCCTCTGCCGATCCTCCCACCACCACTGGCTCAACCCTTGTTTTAGAGCTTCGCACAGCTTCTTAGGACTGTAGATCCCTCTGCCAGTGAGGGGTCCTGAAACAATCAACACAAGGAGAGCTCAGTGCTACCAAGATCCTGAGGGAGCCTTCCAAGATTGTTACCTTGCAGGAACTGCAGGTAATTGTTGATTCGCAGATGTCTCTGAGACACGACCCCGCCAACTGCCCTTCTGTAAGACTGTCGGTCTTGTGGTTCGTGGACAAGAGGTGTTGTTTACCTTGCCAAAGTACAACGTAGATCGACGAAAATCATCAGCTCTGAAGGACGAAGACGTCTGTTTATCTTTTCCATCTCGTTTGTTGAATCTTCTGGCTTTAGTTCTAAGGGGCTGCATGCCTTTCTGGGAATATGCACACGTCGCTCGCCTAGGCTAGCCAGGGGACGGGGTGTCTTAGTCGGCCTTTCTGTCTGCCTATCAACCACTATCGCCACGCACGCAAACCGACAACGCGCCCATTGCCACTCACTGACCAGCCACACGGATTGGTATTGCGGCGATCCAAGGAGTTCGCAAGGGGGAGACGTGCAGAGAAGAGGTAGAATCTGAAAACGCCTGGGTCGACCTTTGCACGAACTGGGTCACAGGTCTATCCTTATCACTCACTGCATCCCTCACCGCGGGGCATTCAGTCAGTGTCTTGCCCCGCCATCATATCATCAGCTCACACCGACCCGCGCTGTGAAGGGCTTTCCTACCTCACCTCCTTTCAAGTGAGCGCGGACCGACAACCCATTCGATAACTGCTCAAGCGCTCTCAATCTACTCAAAGCCGACGCGGTCTGCAATGTCCCGGCTGCTGTTCACGCGGCGGCCCGCGCGGCTGCTCCCGGAGCATGACGACGAGGACCCCGCGTCCGCATACTCGTCACTGCTCGACCAGGATGACCCCGCTGTCGCTGAGCACCAGGCGGCGGCGGCGGCGGCGGCGGCGGCCTCTGCCTTCCCACAACGTTCCCAGAGTCTACGGTATCAGCACCGCAGGACAAAGTCCAGCCCGAAAGTGTACACAGCAGCCGCCCAGACCGCCGTCATAAGGCGGCAGCCGAGCTGGACTGGCGAGCGTCCCGTGAGGAAGCTGATCAAGGAGCCCACCGCCGGATCTGCTCGCCCGAGCTTTTCGGTTGAGATCAGCGACGGGGACGGGGACGGGGATGGTGGTGCTCAGGGGAAGGAGAAGGGCAAGGCTGGCAGTGGTACTGTGCGACGGTCTATCTTACGGCTAAGAGATTACTGGAAAGGGGAGAAGTGAGGCGATACGAGTCGTATTCCCATGGCCTACTTGCGGGCATGATGGAACATGAAAACGACATTGAAATTCGGGCCAATACGAGCACCACAGGATATGCTCGCCGGATAACAATCTGGATGGTGTGGGAAGGAGTTCATCAGAGCGTGGAGTCACTCTTACATTCGCATCTTTCATGAGAAATGATTCCGGGAACAGCATTCATAGATAACACGGGGCGGTATGGCGTTCTGATTACACTCTGCGCATTCAAATACATACAGGATGGTTCAGAGAACCTGCCCAATTACTCATCAGTTTACATTTGGACCCTTGATTCCGTGACCGGCATCAATACCACGGCCGGCTGGTGATTCCGGAGCTCGCTATCGGGCGAAAAGCGGGGCGCGCGGGATAGATACCTAGGTAGAGCATACAGATTTGGGAACCTCCTTCACTTCAAACTCTGGACTCTAAACTATTGGCGACTATGCTAACGATGCACTCGCTGTGCGCCTCCTCGTGATTCGCAGGATTCGCTCAAAGGATTCTGTCATCGGATTAATGGGTGAACGCATTGTAAGCACGGCTCCCTCGGGGACTGCTCCCTTCTCCTAACAATTTCAATAGACCGTGTCTGCAACAGCACTATGAGCTTCTCAATCTCCAAATTGAGCCTGCCATATGGGCACCTGCTTTTGACTGGAAGTGTCTGCCTGTCTGTAGGGCTACTATTGCGTCCTCTACTAAGCAGACAGGAATCTAAACAGCCATGGTATCCGTCTCCGCGAGAAACGCAATTACCTCGGCTGTCGCCGGAAGCTATCAATGAGCTTCCCTATCCGCCAGACGTGCTGCCTGGAGGAAGAGATGTCGAGACGCCTTACGGCACGATTCAAGTCTTTGAGTGGGGGCCGGAAAACGGGGAGAAAGTGCTGCTGATGCATGGAATCGGCACACCAAGCCCTGCATTGAGCGAGTTCGCGGAGGAGCTTGTTAGGAAAGGGTATCGGGTGATGCTGTTCGACTATTTTGGCCGTGGGTACTCGGACGCGCCGAATGACATTCCGTATGATGTACGGCTATACACTACGCAGATCCTGCTTGTGCTGGCGTCTTCACATCTAGCATGGACAGGTGATGACGGGTTCCATCTCATCGGCTATTCGCTGGGAGGGGGAGTGGCTGTGTCTTTTACCAGATATTTTGCCCACATGGTCCGGTCACTGACAGTCGTGGCATCCGGAGGCATCATTCGAAAAGAACATGTGAGCTGGAAGAGCAAAATCCTGTACTCAACAGGCATATTCCCAGAATGGTTGCTTGAGGGCTTGGTCAGATCGAGGCTTGAGCCGAAGGAGGTTGTCACGGAGGCTACGATGGTCACAGAGGTCACTCAGATGGACAACTCGTTGGAGAGGAAAATCAGTCGTGACACGAGTGGTGGTAGCTCTTTCGACAATGCGGTACTCCTGAGGAGTCGGCCGTCAATGACAGTAGCAGCAGTCATGGCCTGGCAGTTGCGTCATCATCGAGGTTTCGTTCCCGCGTTCATGAGTAGCATTCGATACGCGCCCATATACGATCAGCGGGAAGATTGGCAGGCTCTAGGACGTCTTTTGGCAGTAAGAAGACAGCACACAACTGGCAGCATTGGCCCGGCTGGGTTGAGAACTGGCAAAGTATTGGTTGTTCTTGGCGAGACCGACCCTGTCATTGTCAAGGAGGAACTTATCGAGGACGCTGGGGCGATCATAGGACCAGATGGCATGGAGGTCACGACCTTGGATGCAGGCCACGAGGTTGCTATCACTCATGGAGATGAGGTGGCTAGAGCCGTTTTAGAATTTTGGGAGACGTAATAGAGTAGAAACGATATGACACGAGCTAAATATGTCTACTGAAGGACAATACCGTGTTGCATGAGACTAAAATTGCAGTGAACACTGAAAACTCGAGGCTTTGGGTCTACGAAATGATTATTGCACAAGTAAGCCACAAACACCCGATTTGTATGGTAGCGCTTTCAGCTTAGGCAGTCCCGCGGATGTTAAGATATCATCTCTAGGCATTTCTCATGTACGGCTCGGCTGTGAACATATTGCCAAGAAAGCCACAAGATACGTGTAGTGCCTATTTTAGACGGTGGCGCCTTTAGCTTAGACAGTTCAAGTATCTTCTCTCCAGGCTAGCAAGGCTGTGAGATCGAAGTGCAGCAGGCTGAAAGGCTTCTATCCTATCGAGTAGAGACATGAAAACCATCGTTGACCGGAGACCTTGCAACAGAGCTGAGACGTTACATCTAAATAATCTATCATTATTTAACAACGTTCTCTCCGTGATTTATCCACGTTGGCTATCCCAAAGACTCCTGAACTTCGACGGTCCTTCCAACAACTCCTTTGGATTCCCCGTCTCGGCAATCCTCCCCTGCTCCATGACCACAATCAAATCAAAGTCGACGAGATTGTCAAGCCGGTGAGCCACCTCGATGACAGTGCAGTCAGCAAACTCCTCGTTGATGACTTTTCTGACTTCCTCGTCCGACTGCCTGTCCACACTGCTCGTAGCCTCGTCCAGAAGCAACACTTTGCTCCTGTGCAGGATCGCTCGCGCGAGGCAGAACAACTGCTGCTGGCCGACTGAGAAGCCAACCGAGTCAAATTCTGCGTCAAGACCGCCACGGGCCTCAAGCATCTCCCAGATGTTTGTCTTCTTAAGCACAGCCTCGATTTCGCTGGTGTTGTGAGAAAGCTTGTTTTCTGGGTCCAGATTCTCTCTGACCGTTCCGGCAAGCCTGACAGGATCTTGAGGTAGAGTTGTCAAGAGTGAACGAATGGTCTGTCGAGGGAGCACAGACAGATCTATACCATCAATCCGAAGAGAGCCCTCTTGTAATTCGAGCATTCGCAGAAGCGTGAGGATCATTGAGGACTTCCCGCTCCCGGTTCGACCGCAAAAGCCAACCTTCTGGCCAGGCTTTATGCTCAATGAAATATTGTGCAAGACGGCTTCACTAGTCGGACTGTATCTCGCAGTAACATTCTGAAACTCGATGCCTCCGTTTGTCGGCCATCCAGGAGGCGGAGTCTGGCATTCAGCCTCCAGTGATTCCTGAGGTGTGTCTGCCATAAATGTTTTGAGCCGCGCGATCGCTCCTAGAGAAGTCTCCAGCAGTGTCCATGCATTGATGAGTTGTGACAGGCTCGTATTGAAGTTGATGATGTTCACCATGGCCAAGCCGATGGCTCCCTTCCCTGTGGTGCCACGGAAGTTCAATGCAAATGAGATCAGTACAAGAGCGACTCCGGCGACGAATAGATCCAACACGACATTCAACCATCGCTGGATGCAAAAGAGGAGGTAATATGGTTTCTGCGACTCGTCGAGAAGTTTGGAGTTGAGGGTAAGGAACCTGCCCTTCCAACCGAAAGCGCGGACCGTGATGAGACCACTTAGTGTCTCGGTGAACAGGGTGTAAAGGGGTGATTTCGCTTCGAGATCTAAATGTCGTATTTGCCTGGAGGTGCGCAGGTAGTATTTTTGGAGAAGATACAACGCTGCGAAGCAAAAGGGAATGATTGCCGCAACATAGGTAGCTCCCGATGCAATAAGTGCTGCCTCTGCAATCACGGAGTAGGAATCTATGATAGGTGAGTGGATGTGAATTTGGAGGAAGCTGAGATCACTGACCAAACACCGTAGAAAACATTGACATTGGCAGCATCTGGTCAACCAATGTCATGTCTTGGCTGAACCTAAAGGGGTTGTTAGTATCGCTAGAATTTAGAGCTTTGAAAAGTGTAGTACCTATTCAACGTCATGCCGAGATCAGTGGTAGTGAAGAAGTATAGAGGCGCTCTGTGAACCATTAGTTTTTGTTTCCCTCTAAGAAAGAGCATATGTCGAGGCCTTGACTTACGCAAGGACTGCGTCCAATAGCAGCAGATGAAGATTTTGTGCCGACTTGGGGATGAGAATCAATAAAAAGTACCTAAACAGTCAGTGATCAATGCATCGATCTACGAGTGGGATAGCATATCATACCACACTGTGATTGAGCATGCCACGCAGACCAATAGAGCGATGGTAGCGTATATACCGACGTAGAAATCCGTGTCAGTGTTAGTTCCCCGTTCCGTCCAGATTCGAAGCCAGATTTCTATTCAGGTCAGATATTTGAACTGTGACATGCAAGAAGAAGCGAAGAACTTACGAGTAACTTTCCCGCCAAATATGAATATTGCTGCAAGACCCAGGAAGCCCAGGCAAAGAGGAACACCAACGCTTCGAATATAGAATACGTAAAGGCTCGTGTCACCCGTTGCTCGTGACATGTCCAGGCCATCCTTTGCAGGAGTCGGTTGTATCAGCTTGTCCTTCTTTGGCTGGTCTTGTGTTTCTCCATCTTCAGCAGCTGAGACTTCCTCGCTCGATGAATCTTCTTCCAGTATACCCCATGTAGATGGGTCCACCGAGTCAAACTTGACTTGATTGTATGTCGTGCTACCAGAATCAAGTACTGTGATGAAGTCGGCGTGATGTAGGAACTTCACTGTATAAAAATGTTAGGGAGATGATCTGTGCTCGGAATAGGTCCTGCTACTTGCCTGCATGCGTAGCGAGTACGACGGTGATCCCATCTTGTCGAAGCAGACCGTTCAGACCAAGCAGACGGTTAAAGACGAAGTTTGAAGTTGTGTTGTCCAGGCCGCTGAAAATATCGTCAAGAAGTAGTAGTTCCTGACGAGCATACACGGCTCTAGCCAATGCCTATGTAATTCAATTATTTAGACGCATAAATGTAAGGAGATTTACTGAACTTACCACTCTCTGCTTTTGCCCACCACTAAGAGCCGCACCTCCACTGCCAACAAGCGTAGAATCTCCTGCATCAAGTGCGGCAAAATCCTGCTCTAGCCCACATGCTTGAGTGACTTGAGAGTACCAATCCTGATCGAAATCCAAGACAGTAACAATGTTTTCCTTGATTGTTTTGTTCATCAGCCATGGGACTTGGTCGCAGTATGCGATCGACGGAGTCCGGACGACCAGAGAGCCAGAAGTGATGTACATTTCTCCTAGGATGGCTTTGAGAAGTGATGATTTACCACAGCCGACCCGTCCAATCAGAAGAGTTAGCTTCGAGGGCGGAATCTTGAGGGAGATACTGTGCAGCACCTCGGTGTCGTCCTTTGTCTTGAAAGAGGCATTTTCAAGTTCAACTACCGATGTGCTAGAAGCACCTGTCGTTGACGTGGCATTTGAGCCAGGGTTCATGGTCTTGAGTTCGATGGCACCTGGAGCAGTCGAGGAGCTCTGATCGAGTCTTCGCATCTCGGCTTTGTATTCCTCAAGGAATAGTCGATAGTCTTTCCGATTTTCCAAAAGTAGAAAGGTTTGAATGCGACCAAAACACGCAATACCTGAAGCAATCAATGGATACAAGACGAGTAAGTTCGCGAGCGGTAATGATATCAGGACCATAACTGAAAGTGCTGTAAAAACCTCTGCAACACCAAGGCCATTGTCATTGTGGTTCAGGTATACTGCAGCAATGATCACAAATACGGGCGACAGAAGATCGACAGAGTTAGCTGTGTGTAAGTGTCAATATGGACCTCTGAAGTTGATATTATATGATAGCGTACCGATCCAGTTCAGCCAAACGATAAGCATACGAAATTTCTTCGACAAGTTGACTTCAAATATTCGAATTCCTTGAATTGAGCCGTGGATGTAGCCAGACAAGCCCATCATCTTGATACCCTTCATCTGGGAAAGCATGGACGAAGTCTGCGCAACTCTCTTTTGCACACCCTGATTCCAAGCGACCCTGGCAGGACCCATTCCCAGGCTGACAAAGTGAATGCCCACCAGACTTACTATTTATTGTTAGCTCCATATGAAGTGGTGATCATGATGTTGACTTACAAAATGATGGCACGACGATGAGAAAGGCGGGATATCCAACGTATCTCTGGAGAACAAATAGGCCAATGCCAATCTCGATTACGAACCCCCAGATATCATGAATCATCTGGAAGCCCTGGGTCATGCCGTCGATATCAGTACTCATCAATGTAACTGGTGCTGCGTCTGTCATGGCCACTCTGTCTAATTCCAGTGTCTTCTGAAATATAAGGGATATGAGGCCACCTCTAATCATGGTCAAAAGCTGGTAGGTCAAGTGTTTGTAAATGGCCCGAGTTGCCTATCTATATCAGCATTGTGTACAAGAGTAAGATGGGCTCTGGCCTTACAGCTATACCGCAATACACCAGCACGGTCGCTCCTATCAATCCGCCAATGATCCCCTGATCAAATTCGGAGGGCTCTTCACCCACAAAGTGAATGACACGGTTAATCAAGAAAGGTTGAGCGAATACGAAGCCTCCGAAAGCGAGTCTTGGGATGATGGCAGCACCAAGCTGGTAACGAAACGCCCACATAGTAGCCTCAAGAAGGGCTCGCTTGCGGGTCTTGTCCTCTGTGATGCTTTTCAGTCAAGTACGGTTGAGAGCTTCTTTGGAAGACATACTCTTGGCCCATTGTTTACCCACAGTTTCGAGGAGCCAGTCTGATGTGAGCTTCTCCTCAAGTGCATCAAGATCAGGCATGTCAATGAGGGTACGGTAGCCTCTCTTAAAGACGACATTGAGCCACCAAAAGACAGTCCGGTTGATGATGCCGCTTGTAGCTTCAGGGGCTACATCTTTGAACTTCTCAACCAGAAGGCCCGTCTTGGGTGCTTCTTCGAGCAATAGTAGTACACTCTTAATAGACAGAGCCAGGATGAAAACAACAGCAACCCGTTCGAGACCGTGGCGGATCCAGAGACTTCTCGCTTGAGCAAGATCCAACAGCACGGAGAGGAAAAGGTAGCCGCTCAGAAGACTCGAGGGACGGATGGAACGTTTGTGCTCAATGTATGACAAAGGCACAAGGAGCACGGCTGCCAGGAGAGACAAGACGCTGGCGGCAATGGAGAAGCGACGGTATGCTTCCGTTGACAACGACCATAACACGACATTCGCGATTTGGATGCAGGTCAAAGCGATTCCACATGTCTATAAAGCATGAATCAGTCTAGTGTCGGAGTTGTAGTTGAAGGAATCTCGAGAGTTTACCAATTTGAGCAAAAGTAACACTCCAGATCTTGCTTCGATTGGTCGTCTTGATAGCAAATGAAATCGTGGTATGGCTGTGGCAATGAATAGAGCCGAAGGCACAATTGATAGAATGGTCTGTTCAAAGACGAGCGTGAAGTCAAAGGTCCCGCGCAATTGCGGTCCAAAGACATCATCGCCAGACGCCATTCTCGCGACAACTTTCTGGGTTCGGAGTTGGATGGTTACAGTTATTGGGCTCCCTGACAACCTTTAATTATGACAGCCATGACACGAGGGTATACGTTCGGCATGAAGAGCATGATACCTCAGGATTCAAGATGAAGGGAGAGATGCAAGAATATCAGTGCGCGTTGTTGCCTATGTTTCCGCACCCATGCTGACGGTGCACGCGCATCGCATCGGACTCAGCAGTGATATCGGCCGAAAAGGGCCCTGATCGGTGCTGTGCCGCGTGCTCCTTGACGTCGGACACTCTTTTGACAGGCATGGAGATACAGGTTAACATTGGCACCTGCCGTTTCGAGTACGCCGAGCCATCTGGCGTGGCCCCTCCTACCACAAAACGTGTTAGTGAATTGACCGTATCGCTATTCGCTGCAACATTTCTGATCACTGTTTTGGCTGCCTTGCAAGCTGTTGGGAAACAGGAAATTATATTGTTAGTGACACTTAGGCAGAAAGTTTGAGAATGTCATATGGAAATTTTGCTGCCTAAGGATAGCGAGAAACATGCGATATTGAGACATACACGCTGCACTCAAACTTGGGTGGGAACGTCCATTTTGCGTTGCGGTGGCGTTGCTTGAGGCTCTCTCTTCGGCACTTCATCTCTTAACTTTCAAGGGGAACTCCGAACTCCGACCCAAAAATACTGAAAGGGGCCTGACGACAGCATTGACAATTGAGGGCTCATTGATTGCGTGTCATAGTTGAGAAAAGTCTATCTATCCTCTCTACGCCCTTTCCTATACTGTTCAACTCCATTAATCATATTAGTCGAGGAATTGATTTCATTGATGCAACAACAGATCCTTACTATGCACATTAGACGACTCCAAAGTTATCGGCTTTTGTCCAAGAGTATGAACAAGACAGTTCTTGGAAGTGGTCAGTTCACCAACTGTGTTTGCCGCGTAAGTTGCGACAGTGCAACATATCGAGTCATAGATCGGATCAATTGAGTCTCGCCGTTGTCACAAGCACTTCTGCACTTCTTTGTTCAGGAAGAGCCCCCTGGCAACGAGCGACATTGCATCAAGTGCATAGTTGTTCTAGGAAGATAGCGTTGATTGTGTTTATCGTAAAGCGGGATTGGCTTGGCTTAAAGGATCTGCAGTTGGCCATGACCGCCCGTAGAATGGCGATTCAGAAGCCCGCCAATAACGCATCTCTAGCGACTCCAGCCATACTTCATTGCCTATTGGCAGAACCGCTAAGTCGAATTAGTACCCATACAAAATTGAGAAGTACAAACCGGACCGCCGACTTACCTCGATGCCGTCTCGTTTCACACCACGTCAGCAACGCAAAAACAACTGAGGGGAGTCCAATACAGAGTCCCATTACAACGGCAATGATAGAGTCGTTCGAGAGGTGAACCATGATGGTGAGGTGTTGCGCTTGCCCGATTGAATTCCTCGTTAATCTGTATCGACATGGACTTCGGATTGAGCCTTTTATGTATCTTGCCGGTGGCCTTGGGAGATAGTCTGGCATAACCTTCCTGAAGGATCAAATGCAAGGAGACAATGTGGCTGAATTCTCTTTTTTGACACATTCCTTAGCCCTATGACCGACATATCATCCCCCAATAGAGATTGAACACCCTGCTCTATGGATGATTCTTCACCTATAGATATTGCGCTTACGCCGCCGCCTTTGCATTTCAGCCCTACGAGCCATGCCGCAATAGGGCCGTACGATGCACGTCCAGGAACATTGCAATCGGACATCAACATGGCGGTGCCAAATCTGTAGGCTAAGCCGGCACAGTCGTTGTCGTATGACTATACACACTGTTGCCGACCGGGTGACGGCAGGATATGCAGCCTGGAACTAGTGAATTCAGTCTGTGATGGAAGTTCTATCACCTGACATATATAATCGGCCTTCTGCGAACCTTCAAGAGGCTTCTTTATCGAAGATTACTATGTATGTCTAGGTTGCGGCCAGCCCGACCAAAGGAAGCTTATGAAAAGATGCGACTCATATGCCCAATTGCGGCTAAGCGCAGCTTCCAGGTCGACAATCCAAGTTGTAGCAATATTCAAGAGAGTAAAAAGAGCTGGTCAAGACGGCTAGGTTTTAGCCTTCTCCCACAGGAAGCCATCATGGACCGTGATTGATGCCATGAGAGGAAATGTAAATTGTTGAAATCGGCTGAATGAGTGCACGAAATGCCTCACCCTATTATGATTTGCCTTGGCAGCAAATCAGATCGACCTGGACAGAGCGCCGGCTGCTGAGCACTCTTAGACTCAGCAACAGTAGAACAGGAGAAGACTACTGTAGTATCGGAGAGAGTTGAGGCAAGACAGGGTGGCAGGGCTTGGTCGGATCGCCGCCAAGCTTGAAACGCAGTCCGGGGTCGCGGCTCATCCGCTTGGCAGCTCTTCGTCGACTGCCAGCACTAGCGGGGTTTCAGCACCTCGCGACTGTCGCAGCTTGGGGTGCCCAAACCATCCTCGTCCACGTCGCTATTCTTGACGCGGCAGGGCTACGCTTGCCCTTTTCCCTCGACAATGACATCGGGGACGAGCAAGCATTCTCCTCCATTGGCCAATCAGGCGGAGAATATTCAAATCGCCTCCCCTTTCCTCTCCTGTCTCAGCTTCTTGGACTGTGACTGGCGATCACGCCAAGCCTCTTTATCCCACTGTACCAAAATCCACAGTTGACAGAGGCAATCGAAGAAGAGACATGGTTTGAGTCTTCAAGGATGGCACGCAAGATCGCCTGGGGATGAGTATCCTCGAGGGATTGTTTGGTCCGCGGCATTTCTTCTTGCTGGCGCACAGGCGGAGATGGAGACATCCGCTTCTCTCCTCCTGCTCCTCTCCTCCTGCTCCTCTATGTTTGTTGAGCGCCGGTAGTTGACAACGCCTTCCTTCCTTTTAACTCGATGTGTTTCCCTTTCTTCTCTTCTCATCGCACCATTTTAGCAACCATTTACGAAAGAGTTGAACTGGGATATCTTCCTAGTCGATTGTAATCCCCGAGGTGCTACCACACGCTTTATAGTCCTCTCTGAAACCCTAGTCCTCAACCACATAATGCTCCTGTGTGGCGTCTAGTTGACCCAAGCCCACACCTCCCACGAGCAAGTTGCTTCAAGAACTTGCTCACCTCCTCCCTCGCTTCCACTCCTCAGCCCATACGCATCACACCAAGAACACCAAGAATGGCGCCACCACCGCTGTCCTCACCCTCCAAGTTCTCCAGCTTCAGCGGAGCCATTTCAACAGCTGCCTCACCCTTACAAGCCTCGTTCAGCCTCAGCTGTCGTTCTCCGATACGACCGAGCTACGATGCCGGTGCCAGGAGAAGTCTCAATGCTCAGTCCACCGCCAAGAGCCATGGCTCGCAATATCTCGCTCCGCCGAGCTTCATGTCACCAATACAGATCCAGGCTGCTGGGTCAAAGGTGATATATGAGGCCCAGGATGGAGACTACGACTACAACGATGACGAGAAGTCGGTCCTACTCGAGGACTCACCAACAGAGGGAACATGGTTCCTACAGCCGGGGACACCTGGACTATTAAATCCAAGACTCCAGCGAGACGAAGGGAAGCTGGGAGTCATATCCGCCATTAATATTATCCTTGGAAAGACCGTTGGAGTAGGTGTGTACTCTGTACCATCGGCAATCTTTTCGGGCGTAGGCTCAGTGGGCATGACGCTGCTGTTGTGGGTAACTGGAAGCCTCATTTCCTTCTGCGGGCTTGCTGTTTACCTGGTATGTGTGTCTCTTTCTAGGTGTTCCTATACTCGCTGATCAAAATTAGGATTTGGGCACCGCTCTTCCGCGCTCTGGTGGCGAGCGCGTCTATCTGGAGAGGATCCTGCGACGGCCGCGCATGCTAGCAACATGCATGTTCATGTCTTACGTGGTGTTGCTTGGATTCAGCACACCGAACGCCATTGTGCTTGGCGAGTATGCTTTATATGCCCTCGATATCTCACCAAATAGGTGGAATGTGCGCCTCATTGCCGTCTTGGCCGTGTCCGTGCTGTGCTATATTCATGCACGGCACGCTCGACTTGGACTGCACCTAATTAATGTACTCGGCGCGGCAAAGATGGTCATTCTTGCTGTTGTTGTAATTTCCGGAGTTGCTGGCGGACTATCCAGTATCGGCTCCCAACGACAAGTGCTCGCCGAAAGGAGACTGGATACTGACCCATTCAGCTCCAGTACGCCACTCAGCGCTGCGCAGCACAACTTCAAAGACATTTGGGCAGGGTCATCCACCCAGCCCTACGACTATGCCACCGCACTCCTCAAGGTGATCTACTGCTTCCGCGGGTACAGCACCGCCAACCAGGTCTTGTCTGACGTGAAGAACCCCGTCCGGACACTCCGCGTGGCTGCACCAATCGCGCTGGCAATCATTACTTTCGCTTACCTTGCCATCAACATTGCTTTCTTTCTAGTCATCGATAAGGACGACTTCGCTTCCGCGGGAGTCGTGGTGGCAGGGAAGTTCTTCACAAACGTATTCGGAGAAGGGCTAGGCAAGCACGTCCTCCCATTTTGCGTGGTGATCACCGCAGCCGGCAACATCGCTGCCACCAGCTTCGCGCAGGCTCGCGTGAATGAGGAGCTTGCGCGCGATGGTCTGCTCCCCGGGGGCCGGTTCTGGACCTCTTCTTCGTCGAAACAGGGTCGTTCGTCAGCGGCGAAGTCACACGCTTGCCACGAGCCGGCAGCATCCCGGTCCCCCAAGCGCGGACTGCTGCTCCACTGGCTCGTCTCGGTCGCCGTGATCGTGCTGCCGCCCCCGGGCCGCATCTACAACTTCCTCGTCGACATCGGCGGCTACCCCGTCTCAGTCATCAGCGTCGCCGTCTCCGCGGGCCTGCTCTACCTGCAGCGCACGCCCTCCGAGCGGTGGAGCTCGCCCTGCCGCGCCCCGACTTTCGCCGTCGCCATCTTCGCCGCGGCGAACTGCCTCCTCGTCGTGCTCCCCTGGATCCCGCCCTCGAGCGGGCGCGGCGAGGACGGCAAGTTCTCGTGGTACGCGTACCCGGCCACGGCGCTCGCTGTGCTTGGCTCGGGTGCGGTGTATTGGTGCTGGTGGCGGACAAAGGGGCATGGAAGCAGGCTTAGCCACCACCATACCAGGACGAGCAGTGAGATTCTGTGGAGCTGTGATGAGGACGATGTCAGCGCCGAGGCCTCGCATGGCCTGCTAGCCGATGATGATGATGAGGATAGGGATGCTACAGAGACCGTGGAGATGCGGAAACGTCCTGCATGTTGATACACACCAGGGCGCCTGGTTTGCAGCACGATAGAGTGCGCTTGTATGATATAGATGGAGCTAAAAAGACCTGTGAATAAGCGAGCGTTACGTATATACCAAAACACATATAGATACCCAAATGAAAAATAATATCATAAATTCAGATCATCGCTGTCTATGCAACTCGGCTGGTGACCATATAGGTCTCGGCGAGATTTATGTAAACTATGTCTACCCCAATTGCTAGAAACCTCTCATCTTCTCCTCTTCTCAAGCAACTCCGTCTCTGCACCGTAGTACAGGGTCCCCTTCCTGGGCCGCGTCTCCCTCTCCACTTCAACCTCCTCGAGTGGCAACGGCGCACCGCCCAGCACGAACCTTCTATGCCACGAGCCGACGAACATGCCCTCCGGGTCGGACTTGTCGCGCACCTGTCGCCATCGCGTCAGGTCGTCTCCATACAGCGCCTCGATCTCGCCCGTGTTAGCGTCGAAGTTCTTCGCCCAGTGTGGCTTGCCGCCCAGGTCGCGCATCAGCCACTCAAACCCTTCGTAGTAACGATCGCGGCACGGCGGATCCATGTCGTAAGGGCGGTACATGATGGCATTGAGGTAGAGCGTCGGCTCGTCAGGGCAAGTTGGATCCAGGAACGGCCGGCTGTTATCCGTCCGGCTCGTATCGGAGACGCGCACCTCGACGGGCGAGTGCACATACAGCCCCTTGTTCGAGAACGGAATGCCGTGCGCTACGTAGTCCCTATCACCCGGCTTCAGGTCATTCAGCCAGCTCGACAGACGGCGCAGCGCCTCGGGCCCGCTGCGCAGCGGGATGGCCCATTCGTTGACGTACTGCGAGTAGAGGCAGTTCATGAGCAGGGCCTTGCGGCTGGGCTGGATGCCGGAGACGGTGCTGCCGTTGGCGAAGCCGTACTGCATGCCGAAGACGAACCACTCGACCCACGGCAGGATGCGCGGCGCGTAGTGCGCCAGGTACAGCAGGTTGTGGTACACGTAGTAGCCCAGGGAGCCGTCGTAGTAGCTCGTCGGCGGGTCGCGGTGCGGCTCGTCCGTCTTGTTGGCCGCCCAGACGACCGACTTACGCATGTAGGGGAACCACCACACGCGCACGAACTCGCCCTGCGGCCAGAGGGAGTTGGACCAGGTGTTGAACATCTTGGTGTCTGCATCGATGACTTGCGTCCATTTCAGGCTGTAAGCTGGTACGGCTTTGAATGTGACCTCTGTGATGATGCCAAGTGCACCGAGGGAAAGGAGCGCGGCGCGGAAGAGGTCCTCGTTCTCTGTCTTCGAGCATGATCTCGTCTTACCATCGGCTAGGGTGATTTTGAGGGAAAGAATGCTCTCTGAGACCAAGCCATGAAGCAAACTACTGCCGTGAGTGCCGGTCGAGATAACGCCCGCAATCGACTGCTCATTGATGCTACCGAGGTTCTTCATCGCCAGACCCAGCCGATCCAGGTGCTCACTGAGCTGGTACAGACGAATACCACTCTGCATGACAGTGATCCCGGTCTGCGTGTCCACTGACAAGATCCGATTGAAGTTGTCCAGGTTGATCAGCCAGCTAGAGGTGCAAGTCAACTCCGAGGGTGAATGGCCGCACCCGACGGTAGTGATGCGCCGCCGACATCGCCGCGCAAGGTTGATCGCCTTCTCGACCTCTTCAATGGACTGTGGCTGGATGTATAGCTCTGGACGTGATGAGAAAGTGCGCGCCCACGTGCTATGCACGTGGTTCGTCTTTGCGCGGAAGGCCACGCCGTCCGCAGCGGCTGCGTCGATCTCGCGAACCACTCGGGCGTCCACATATGAGAGTTCCATGATTGCGACGATCCCCCGTCTCGTCCAGTACGAGACTTAGAAGGGCGCAGGGCACGTATTACGGGTCGCGATAGGCCTCAAGGTGGTGTATATCCTCCCACAGCAATTGCCTCAAATTTGCCGGAAAGGGCAAAATCGGATCTCCGAGAAATCGACTAGCGGATAGTGCGTCTTGCAAAAGTCTCTAGATCGGTCGCTTGTATCGGTCTGCGATCGGAGTCAAGCGAATGCGCTCGGCCGAGGTTTGCTAAGCTACCGGTCCATTGTGCTGAGAACAGTCCAGGAGGAAGCAAAGGAAGTCATGGTGGTGGTCAGGTATAATATCTATCATTTGAGTAATGACGACGGGAAGCGGTCATTACTTATTTAGATTCCCCGGGCCGTGTTTCTCACATTTCTGGTATCCATTAGTTAGTCTAAGATAGCTCATCCAGACTACCACCATATCTGATGGTGCGGCCTGGACCCTTCGACGGCACGGCGGCGGGAACCGAGGGAAGAGAGAAAAAAAAGACGTGATAGAGGACCAATTAATAAGTCTAAAAGACCCGATACATGACTCTTCCATTCGTTTTGCACTGCAAATCTAGCGCAATCTGGCAGCTCGCTCTGCAGTGGTCTGCAGTAGCTGCGGATGCCCCTGCGCCCCGCGGCTCACGCTGAGAACGTGGGCATCTTTCAGCACATTCGGGGCTTTTGATAGGCTGTGCCGGGGCCAAGGGTCGCTTGGGGGTCCCATCTCAGCGAAAATCCTCCGCTATCAGATAACGACATCGGCCGATCGCTAGCACGACATTGGGCCATTTGGAATCTGCGGTTGCTGACCTCCACGGTTCCACCAGACCCTGACTCTCGGGTCAGGCCAGCAACGCCGTTGTCTCTGAGGTTCATCACGATGACAACGTCCGTGATAGTAGAAGGTGGAGAAATGGTGATTCCAAACGGTCGGCCGGCCGCTGGTTTAGTCCTCACTAATTTCGGCCTCGCGGCGCTCCGGTCAAGGTTGCTGAAGCTGTACTTGCCTAAATCATCAGTGCCCGAGTGATGCCGGGAGGCAACTTCCCTTCGGGCTCCAAACCAGGCTCACGTAGGTGACAGCCCAACAACCCCACGCTTGCCCGCAGGAAGTTTTTCCTTGGAAAGCTCAATTGACCTTCAATTACCTGGGCGCGTATTCCGCGATCGGCTCTCTGTCACAGGCTCAAGCTGAAGCAGCTAAGCTGTCGAGCGTGTCCAATAATGCTTCTCGAAGCATCACGATCACCCGCATGGAGCTGAGAGACCGTGACACGATGGCGTCGTGTTTGCTATGAGCTCGCGTCTCATTCGTTCAGACTAGCTCCACAAATGAGGAGAGGCCGAGCACATCTCGAGATAGCCGCATCGTCAGGCTTTAGCTTTACGACCTGATGTTCCCGTATCCAGCACTTGATAAGCCAAGGCACCTTGCTTCAAGCTGGCGAGGCGAGTGAACATCTGGGGTCCGTATCCAATCCTCAATTTAGTCGGAGGCAAGGCTTGCGATGTCGATGGCCATCCCGGTCTTCCTCGGTGGACATCCGTACTATATCAGCCCCAAGATGTCTTCATTGGAACTCCCTTGCTCCTGATAACTTTGGGCAGTGACGCCCACCTTATCTACCACCAACCATTCTGGGACTATCAGAGGTGAATATCGGTGATCACCAGGAGAATTTGATGTGGGCTAAAGCGCATGATGATGCTTGTGCCGACGGCATGCCATCTGATACGTCAAACAGAGCTCATTAAAGTGCTCCCTAGGTATGCACACATCGGGCTTCGATACTTCTTCACTTGTGAATGGAGCTTGCCAGGTGGCATGCAAGTGCGATGCCCAAACCAAAGGAAGCCATCCCTGTTTATTGAATCGGTCAATTGTTATGGCATTCTCATGAGGCCATATATAAAGTCTTTCCTGGCCCTACTCGCAACTCTTGAGTTTTGCAGAATTTGCTTCATATTGCAAGTATCAAGTCGATCTTTCCGTTTTTTCCCCCCCATTCGTTTCCAGTCATTGCCCCTCCTACTCCTAATGTGTCGCAAGTAATAGTCGATAATCGACAATGCAGTCCGACATATACCCTCTTTCAGGGTATGAGGCCCGATATCGAACAGAGGACTACATCGGTGGGGGTGGAATGGGAGAGGTCTATTTGATGAGGGACACGCTAAGTGGACATGTCGGTTGCTGTGGAATGGCTGAATTAAATAAAATTTGACAAGCACAGGTCTTTGCCGAAAAGCGTGTCGAGTTAACAGGCATCAAGCCCGCCCACAATGAGGACAATGAGCCTGAATTTATGCTGCTTGTGAGGGGAGGCCCAAACATAGCACAGGTCCATAATAGTGATATTATGGGGGGTAAATTACGCATTCGCATGGATTATTACCCTGGTGGTGACCTAAATAGGGTGATCAATAGGGTAGCGGGAAAGGGGTGAATACCTATCCCTTCCCCAGCCTCCACTACCGTTCTAAACTATAAAGCAGCGGCTCCTTTCAAGAGTATCAGGTCGTTGATGTCGCATTGGCCATTGCTGAAGCACTCAAATACTGTCACTTCAAGAAACTTCTTCATAGAGATCTCAAGCCCCAGAATGGTGCGTCGCGATCTAGCCCAGGCTCACAGAAGCTTAGTCTGACCATAAAACTAGTCTTACTTCTAACAATCTGGGATCCCCTCTGTGATGTCAACACACCACAAATATACGTTTCCGACTTTGGATTGGCAGCTGTTGTCGAAAGCCTTAGTTCGAGATCGGCCGAGGAGTGCGGCACACCTGGCTGGAAAGCCATTGTAGGTCGATAAGCACTGCCGTGTTCGCTTGGTTCTTTCTGACTCTGCATAAATCTAGGAGGTGGAAAACCAGGGAGCACACGCCAAATTTGGCCAGAAATCTGACATCTATGCACTTGGTCTCATTATGTACAAGATGTGCGCCTTCAGTCTGCCCAGTAACAGGACTGATATATCATCTGATCAACTTCCTTCGGCATATTCAACAGAAATCAGGGATCTTATCAGAACGATGCTACGAGTGAATCGAGACCACCGACCTACGGCAGCTGAAATCGTAAACAGTTTACGCTCCATGCAACACGCTCTACGTCCACGGCCGTCTCTGCAGCAAAGTCCCCTGCCCGCTGAGCCACAAGTCTACGAGGGCCGGCCAGATGATCACTTTGCCTACACGATCAGTTGCTCACGAAAGAAAAGGCATAGTAGGAAACCTTGATAGCCTTCATACCTCGTCACGGGTCATACGCGGCACGATGAATGATGTCAAACCCCTAACGATGCTTACACAATACAGAATGTGACCGCTTTGCGGTGGTCCAGCAAATACAGACACATCAGACCTACCTGTGCTTAGGTCAAAGTCACAAGTGGCAATATAAGAAACACCCAATACGAATCTTGTCTACCTACTCTTCTAAATCTGGAGAGGCAGTCCTTCATAAGATTGACTTCGCTGCGTTTCTTTCGCCTGCTGCTTCTTTGTCGACTGTTTTTATTTTTATTTACTATCTTTTAGTTACGAGCTCAGGAGAAGACTCTCAAGGAGTTTGGTGATTTGCACTATCGTACAGTGTTGTTTTGAAATTACTTTGCTAGACAAATACACGGATCTTTTGCTCTTTAGCCTGCCTCCACCACCGCAGGCTATTCTGCTCGGACAAATGCAACTGCTTCCTTGATAAACTTGCAACCCAGCTGGCAAGCGAGGCAGCGTGCCGCGCTGCCGCAAAACGTAGATTTCGCCGAAGTTGGAAGAGTGGGAAGCTAGAGGTGCAATTAGGCTTTCCATCTGGCATGCGTAGTGGGAATAGCGTCACTGGACCACCATTAGCAGAAGGCGGGGTCTATGGAAGCTACGTGAGCTAGTGAACATCCCCCACTTTCAACATCAAGGCATGCAGCCGCATACGTCGATCTCTGGATATCGTCTTCCTGACACACCATTATCTCCATTGCATACCCGGAAGGGCTTCTCCAGCATCATATGACAGACGCTCGCCAAGGTTAGATGTGATGGCTTCACAGGACGTGCCACTGAGTGAGTGGCTATGATCATCACGATAGCGGTGCCAAGGCGTGCTATCGACTTACACTTAAAGGTTGAGCCTACCTAGAAATGCCTGGTGCTGCCTTCTTGAAATATACCCTCCGTGGATCTGCTCAAAATGCCTGCCCTGTCACAAGCTGCAAAGAAGGTTGCGATCGTGACGGGTGCTGCCGTGAGTCTTATCTTGTATTGCTAATCGGTTAACTGAAAGAAACTAACATGACTTAGTCTGGCATGGGCGAGGCCCTCGCTACTCGGCTTGTTGCTAAGAATTGGAACGTCGCTTTGTTCGATGTTAGCGAAAAGGCTGGAAGTAAGCTAGGTATGACTACCCTAGATTCACCCCTATCACACTTGCCCTCCACTTACACAGTATCAGCTGGCCAGCTCGGCAAGAATGCTGCCTTCTTCAAAGCAGACGTGGCTTCGTACGATTCTCAAGCTCATGCCTTCAAGTCAGTGTGGTCCAGATGGGGACGTATCGATGCCCTCCTAGCCAACGCAGGCATTGTAGACCGGTCCTCCGTCTACATACTTAAGCACAGGGGTGCCGCAGTCAACGATGTCCCACCGGCGCCGAACATGGCTTGCACTGATGTCGACTATAAAGGTGTGGTGTACGGTACTGTCTTGGCTACACACTTCATGCGGCACAATCCTACACCTGGCGGCAAGATCATCGCAACTGCCAGTGCGGCGGGCATCATACCGCACCCGACCTACGCAGAGTACAATGGTGCCAAAGCCGCAGTCATTACTTTCGCTCGGGGCGTGGCGGATGTGCTGTATAATAAGGACAAGATTGCGTTCAACGTTGTTTGTCCGGGCATTGTGGCAACCTCTATCATCCCGCCTGAGATGATTGCCGCTGTGAGCCCAGAGTGTCTCACGCCGGTTGACACCATTGTCAGGGCGTATGAGGAGTTTCTCGATGAAGAGGAGGGCATGGGTGAGGTTCGACATGGACAGGTTGTTGAGGGAAGTGCAGATAAGATCATTACGTTGAAGATGCCAGAGCTAGGTAATGGAAGGGTAAGTCAGCGAGCAGTAACGGTGTGGGATCCATTGTTTGAGATGATGCATGGCGAGAAGAGTGGCTTGCCTGATGCTATCCCTTAGTACCTAAAGGTCCCGCAATCCAAAGTAATTGAGTTAATTTTACGATATCTTGGGATAACTCCTTGTCTCAAGCAATACTTCACGGGTAATGTATTTGTCATGGAGGGAGGAGGAATAAGGACATGGAATAACCTGCATCGTCCCCATCATAGCAAAGGGAAGCAAAGGGACAAAGGATCTTCAATCATAATGATAAGGGCCGATAGTCAAAAACGGGACCGGGACGAAGATGTTAAGTTGATATCTGCCCCCCACTGACATGCGATGGTCGTGCCTTCCCTTTTCATCGAATAATCCAGAAACGTCGCCGCACAACTTTTAGGGCGCTAGCGAGCCTCTGAGCATTCACCATTCAACTTGCCTGTTTCCATCCCGGACAAACGCCCTTTTCCTTCCCATCCCCCTATCGCGTTCCCTCTTCACCACCTCACTCCCCCCCTTTCCCCTTCCCACGGTCCCCAGATCGCGTCAGGAGTCGATCTATCCAATCCAAACGGCAAAAGATTCCTATCGCCAAAGTGTATCCTTCGTCTTCAGTTCGTTTCCGCTCGTGTTTTCCTTGGGCGAATCATCAGGAGTGAGTCGTCTTCGATTTCGGCTTAGGACGCTCGAAACGCGCGCGTATGGCGCGTCGCAACCATGTTCTACAGTCACGAGAGTAAGATGAGCCCGTATATCAGCAGTGAGACGCGTTGCTAATGCTGTTTCAAGTTCTCACCAGCCATCGATATGGTGTGGCAACAGTGTGGTGAGTTGTCATATTTGATGTTCGTCCATGGCGTCTTACTAACCCTGCAACCTAGGCTCGTCGCCACAGTAGGCGTCAAGTCCAACACAAGGAAGTTGAGTAAGAAGGCGATCCAGGATGTCAACGTTGCGAAAGCTTGTGAGACCATCGGTGAGCCGCCTGGCGCGCCCATCGCGCTGCGACTCCAGGGCAATCTCCTCTATGGCGTGTCTCGTGTGTACTCGCAGCAGTACACCTATCTGCTCACTGATGCGGAGAAGGTTCAGTTGCACATGCGAACCTTCTATCGCGCCTGGCAGACCAATGAAATTGATCCTGAAGCAGGCAAGACCAAGTATGTCGGACCAACTCGTTGATAATGCTGCGTAGGCACGTTGGTGCTAACTGCAAACAGGCGCGGCCAGCTAATTCTTCTGGATGATCCGGACTTTATTCCAGACATGAACCTTCCAGAATTCGATTTCGACAACAATGGAAATCTTGTTCTGCCCAATCTAAGCCAGCGCTCGGGTAAGACATCGTCTCAGCTGTCTCCTTTGGAAGCCAGTCGTACTCCGGACGCTCCTTTCATTGATCTTCGCATCCGCCATTCTTCCAGTCTGAGTAGTTTGAACCTTGCTTCTCCTTTCGGAGGCGACGGTAAAGCAGCACAACAACAAGGCGACGATCTAATGCCAATGGTTTTTGGAGACGAGGAAGAAATTGCTTTTGGCGATTTCGGTTTGGCAATTGATGAAGATAGTAACGTCATCGAAGAGCCTGAACTTCCTGCTCAAAGACCTGTACAGCCAGAAGGCGAGAACGAGCTTGTCTTGCCCGAAAGTGGTGGTCAAGTTCAGCAGCCAGACGAGGAAGGAGCACCCATCGTGGACTTTGATGGCGACATTCAGATGAATTTCGGCGAAAACCCTCTTCCTGATGCGGAGGCACTGCCCGCTCGAGCACAGAAGGGAGCCACCTTTGAGGAGCTGAGTTCGGAATCCGCAGTCGCTCCCTCTCGCAGAGCTCGTCGTTCCAAGGCTCCCAAGCTGGACCAGGGCGATTCAAGAGTCAGCCGGATGGAGCTCAAGAGTTGGAACTCGGATTATCTAGCCAATATGGAGCAGGCCCGCAACACGCACAAACAAATCTCGGCAGCTCTAGCCAAGAAAAATGCCTTCAACCTAACATTTGGTCTCGGCATCGCAAACATTGGCGGACCTTCATCGATTCCGGAATTTGTTCACCCCCTCACCGAGATTTTCGCGGGCCAAGAACTTCAAGCACGCATCCTTGGACGGCCAGTCATTGATGAGGAAGCGACTTCTAAGAACGGCCGTCGCCGTTCAGCATCGTTAGCTTTTGAGGAGGATGAAGAGGCGCAGGAGCGTCGAGTACGACTCAAGATGGACGACGGTAGCGAGCAGCAAGGCCGAGCATCTCAAGATGCTCAAATCGAGGACAACGCACTCGTGTTCGACAATGAGCCTGAAGTCGGTCGTGATCCAGGATCCGCACTTTCCGACATGCTATCGTCAGTGCCTTGGAACCGGCGCGCGTCCGCCGTGCCATCTTCTGCGCAGAGTCAGAAGAGTGCTCAGGCCCGTCTTGGCCGCCATGTTGAGGGCAGTCCGCTCGTTGGTCGAGGAAGCATCCTCCCGGAAATTGAACGCTTCAGCGACAACATTCCCGCATTTGGCTCAGATGGTTTCAGTCTCTTGCCTGAGCAAGGCTCATCTTTCTCGGAGTTTGGACCAGCGGCTGGAGTGAACACGCAGGAAGCCCAAACCTCACAGTTCATGAGACAGGCCTTGGATCGAGAGGGTCGCAACTTTCTGGGTTTCGTACAACGTGTGGCGAAGGAGGATGGTGACGATCGACAGGATCCTGACCACCCTGACCGTCGATGGATTGATTTTGACGCCTTAATCCGGGCGCCTGATAATACAAAAGCGGTTGCAGCACAGGCCTTCTACCACGTCCTTTCCCTCACAACGAAAGGGGCGCTGAAGGTTGAGCAGGATGGCGCTGAGGACATGGAGCCGTTTGGGCCGATCAAGCTGGGCATTACTGTCCCAAAGGAGGACGAAGACGGCCGTGCGGAATACCCGGACATGTAACGGTATCTCTCCTTGTTGATCGTTGGGTTGCATTTACCGAGCATTTGCAATACGATATGGGGTTCTCGTGCTTTCACGGAGTAGACCAGCTTGGATGGGGAGGTAATACTGTATACAAGACATCGCTTCGGATCTCGGCATTCAGGGTCGTTAATTACAAGGGGCGTTCGGCAATTTGAAGGGGCAATGTGGCAGAGAACAGGGGAGTTTCATCTGACGCATTGCATGTTATCGAGCATGAGCTTTCACAATTCACAGGTCTGCAGGTCGCTAAGATACCCATTAGCACTTTTTCACTTATGACACAGGACGACGTAGTTAATAGGCGATAGCCAGGAATTGAGAGTCGTAATCATCATTGAGGCATGCTATCTTCGTATCAAAGTGCTACGTGCAAACGTGAAAGTACTCTTACAATCAGTCAAAGGATATCATTCGTACACATCGTCATCATCACCCATGCCTTCACGGTCTGGGAATTTCATGTACTCGACCTCCGGATCGTCCGCGGCCGCGCCCATGGCCATCTTCCAGGCTTGATGGACGGGCTCTAGCGTCGAGTCGTCGAAGGCGAGACTGACTGACGGTGGTGGGAAGGTGAAGATCTGGCCGTCAACCTGAGGTTCGGACTGGCCACTGGCTTGCTCGTAGTACAGTTGATACAGGCATTTTGGTGTCTCGTCGGTACTCAATGCGGCGAGTAGAGAGTCTAGACTTCGTTCCAGAAGAGCCTTTGACTCTGGCGTACGTATTGTGGTGAGATAGAGAACACCTAGTGCCGAGTTGTGTCAGCGTTATCCGAGTCAAATGACGATGAAGAAAAAAAAGGTGTGAGGTGAGAAGTGTATCAGACTGTCAGAGGTAAGGTTACGTCAAAGCCGTAGCTCAGTCAATGTAGATAAGTATTCGATAAGTTGGATCATCATAACACTTGTGGAGGGTTCGTGAGAGAGCAGAAGCGAGGAAATGCTTACTTTGATCTGCGGGACATTCGCCCGTATCACTGGAATGTGCGATGACATAGACGGGGTATTGGGATGTCACGTCTCCCTCTCCTTTTACGGAGCCAGGAGGAATGGCAACCACTGCCACAGCCGGTGTCGGTGCCCCTTCGATGGTGATTTCGAAGAGTGACGACAACGGTGATCCTACCACAGCGACAAGCCTGCTGACACGTATTGTGTCCTCGGGTACTACTTCAGACCCTCTCACGATCATCTTAGTTTTCACGGTGACACCACTCGTCAGCTCAACCTCGACCTCGTCTCCTTCAGTCGCTGGCCTGACATCCTTGATGCCAGTACCGAGCATGTACACTGCGCCGCCCACGGCACCAGCTCGACATGCAACCTGCGCAATTTCAGAGCCACCACCCCATTTGGGATAGACAGCTGCAAAACCGGTCCCAAACATGCCCATAGATGTGAGGTGCTTGTGAATCGTCGCGAGGCCGCGACGCGTTGTGACCTGCCCATCGAGAGACAGCGTCAACGCGATGATGTACATCTGTAACTCAGCATCGAACCCTATCTTGCTACCGAGAAATTCTGCAAGAGGCTTTTCAGCGTAATCCTGCCACTGCTGAGTCTGTTCCTCCTCGTCGTATGCGAGTACAAGCTTTAGAAACTTCATGAGCTGCCGCTTCGCGCGGGCGGGTAGGTCTGTAGAGGAGAACACATCCTCACGGGTTGAGGGAATGCGGGTAAGCGTGGATTGCGCATTCGAGGAAAATGCTGCTTTCAATATAAAGAACGACCCGACCGCTAGAAATTCGATTTGACGGTATGCGCGCGACGAGACGAGTTGGGAAAGCAGCTTAGAGCCGGCATGGATAAGCTGCGGGGCGAGGGCGAGAGAATAAGCACGGGGAAAAGAAAGCGCAGCTGGCTCAAAGGGTCGATTGACGTCGGCGGCGGCGAATATCGAGATCTGGACAGAGTTTATCCCCGTAGCCCAATCATGGGCTTCTTGTAGACTGAAGGCTGCTTCTGATCCTCCATAGTAATCATTGGAGTCTAAATGGAGAATTTTCTTGTCGGATCGTGATAAGGCTCTTCAAGGTGAGAACGTCTGCGTCAGTCAGAAAGGCCACAGAATTGTCATCACGGCATACAGGTAACCTACAAAGAGACGAGTGATTGCTGCAACCCTGTCCCAGAGACGACCACATCCCATATGTTTTCAGCCAATGACTCCATCTTTGGACTGTTGAGGACAGAGCTGCAGATAAATTATTTGTTGGGGGTCGATCGTGGATGAGGATAGATTTTCTAGAAAGCGCCGGCACCTAGTTTTTCCGTTCCAGGTAGTGTTAAAAAGTTGATGTCAAAAAAATGGAACTCGCAGCTTCATAAACAACACGCCGCTCAGAGTCCTACGGTTGCAGGTCATTCCACGACGCGACCAAGGACTGAGGCATCTTTCACTAGTTGCTCCTCTACTAAGCGGCAGAATAAACCTATTCCTCCTGTATCTACTGCCCTCGAATATCACCTGACAGGGCGGTTCGAAAGGTCGAAATATGCTCGCTTGGCCCCTCGGAATTGAATACCTGTGTCAACACACCTGAATAAACGTGGAGTTTCTTTCCATTGCCAGTCAATTTCAGGTCGTGGTCTTATCAATTTGGCAGTATTCTTCTAAAAATATCCTTTGTCATCAAATACTAAAATACTCGCGGCATTTTTCAATAGTAATCCAGGATTTCCCTGGCAAAACCCATACTAGCATGTGGTTTGAGGCGGCCCTAAACGCTGGCTCTGGGCTGGCACGCTGACCCGACACTCTGGTAATTGGACCGCGGGCAATGCTTAGCGGCCGAATAGTGCATGTACTGACCGACCCTGTCCTGATATTTGAACAGCCGCAAGGAACAGCAATGCCATTGCGATACAGAACGACGTTTCTAGGATGAGGATCTCGAGGCAAATGACCTGATACAAAAAGACTGAAAAGTCTGAAAACGAGGACTATCCCGAACTATCAGTCGCGAGTAATGTGTATGGCTGAGATATACTGATTCGATCCGTAAAGACAGCAGGTATCTTCAGACGATGGAATTGAATTTGTCAGAAGTATTGAGACTGAAGTTGTGAAAGCCATGCGATTTTTATTAAAAGACGTACCTTATCGCATGAGCATCCATCTTCGGCTATCGGTGTTTGTGTCGTACGGTGTTTTCGCCTGTTTCACAGTCAATTATCTCTTCCGATTCAGCTCTGAAGGCAATGGGTGTGAATCAGTGACGGGACAGCTTGCTTCTGTTCAACATAGCTTTCGTGTTAAGAAGATAGCCCCCCTCCAAGTTTCCCAACAATGATCGACGATTCTACTTCGTTTCCCCATCAACCACCACATGCCTGCCGTTGTATCCCCTCTGCGGGTGTTTCGATCTCCCATCACACACACACACATATATATAGAAGTATTTTTGACAATATTTATCCTTCAAACATAACCGATCTACCTCGTATAGAGTACTTCTAGTGGGTCGCCTTGGCCGTAATGTGCATGCCCTTCGACGCGGCTCTCGCTGAAAGTGACTCGGCTCCAGGACTATCATCAACTTCCGAAGCCATTGAGTTAAGGCACCATGATCCCGCTACAACCAGCGGAATCGAGCAATATGGAACCCTTGTTATATACCCATTGCTTTCTTTACCTCCCCCCTTTGGTCCTAATATTCTTGGCCCAAAAAGGAAGGCTGTTTGGGTTTGGTACTGCGTGAGCATTTCCTTCACCATCCTGAGTTCGACATCGGTCGTCTGTGCAATCAATTCGCTAATTACCCGTCTCGTAGTGTACCTGTGGTCAGGGAGGAATCAAAATTTCGATCCAACTCTGTCCTAACTGCACCAATCCTCGTTGTGCTTTGTGCAGAACTGAAAAGATACATGTTCGATAAAGCATCTGTCGTGTCTGACGTCGCGCACGGGCCAACCGCGGAAACCTGGAAAAGTGTGCACGCTCTCCAGCCACTACTGAGCTCTGATTTCTTGCGCACTTATATGCGAACAAATGAGTCCAGCCAATTCTTAGCCCATTCGCCTGATGGAAACCCCATGGGACAGAAAACACTCGAGTCTCCCATGCAAGCGCTTTGGCTTGGGTCCTCAGCACCGCCATCACGCCAATTTGTCCCGATCGACTCCCGTACACCTCTTCTTCCCTTTCTAAAGCCTCTGGTCTGAAAATTATCATTCTCCAAATCCGACTTCCGTCAGCGACGCTCTTGTACAGCTTCGAAAATCAAATAACAGACTTGGTAATTTCAGAAGGAGATGTGTATAATGTATGATAATGTGTTGTTTGTTGATAAAGGTGTTTGATCAAAAACTCAGTCTTTCCTTCTATTTGGTACTTTCCTCGAAGAAATTAACTAGACACTCAAAGGAAAGGTTTATGGTGGTAGTAGATTCTGCAACAACGATTTTAGTCTCTTTCACACCGCATATTCAAAGTAAAAAGTGATCCGAATCATCAATGTACAGCCAAATTAATTTTAGACAAGGCTGCTTCTTCATAAATGAGTCGGTGTAAGACGTGGAGAAATGAGATAGGCTGGTTTTACAGCCTGCATTAGCTTTCAATATCTCAGCGCAGGCAATTCGAAAATTGTCCCTTCTCGCCCTGCAACGCTGGAAGACTGTTTCGTCGCCCAACTCGGTGAAAGTGTTTGGGCGCAGATGTCGCTGCCCATGTGCGACAAATTGACGATCGACTGACCATACATTAATCAGATATCTTGGTATATCCATGCTCTATAACACGTCGCAGGATGCCATTTGCGGCCGATGCCGGACTAAAGAGGCAGTGCTATTTGGTTGAGTGAGGCTCTCTCTGGGCCACGAAAGAGATATCTATTCCTGACTTGTCTTGAGAAGGTTTCATCGTAGTTTCCAATAAACTTGGCTTTTGGTCAGAAATCAACTTTCCCCGACACTGTTGAGGCTTCCCAGGTCTCTTACCAAAGCAATTGTGATAACCGAGTTCTGAAACTCATGTCTTTGACGATTCGTCACTCCCTTATTTCAAGCCTGCCCTTTCTAGTCGTTGCTCGGTACTGGGAGTGCGACAGCCTAGCGCCGTGACGCCGGCCCCGGCGGACCCGGCCGTAGCTGGAATGACGTCCGCTGGATCTGTTTGTTGCCATAACAAATTGACCATATGTGATTGGTGTTTTAGCTTCAACACCGCTTCAACGCCTATATCTACCCAAGCTACCACGCTTGCTGACGCTTTAGCGGAGTGTGATGCGACTGACGACATCATCTCCGTGTTTATGCGAGATAATCAAGAGCCGGAGAATTGCTCATTCAGAACAAGATTTGTAACTGATTTTTGCAATGGCGCAAATCTGTCTTTTCCAGAAGACCGAGACTCAAAAGGCAAATTGCGATCCGTGGCGCTGGTCAACGACATCAAATATAATGGGAAGACAAGCACTTCGCTAGCAACCCAAATGCCTCTTGATGTAGAACACCTTTTCGAATATCTATCTAACCCTAAGGTCCTGACTTAATGACTGTCTTCGTTCTTTTATTGGCTAATCTAATGGCAGACTCATGGGAATATCCTCGTTGAACCTTCTACTGAAAATGGGGAAGCTGTTGCCCCAGATACTGCTCAGTCGCAACACGCTTCCTCACAGGAGGCGTCTCCTCGACTTAAGTTGGTGTAAGTCATGTTGCATTTTGACATTTAGCTTTGTTGATTTGATATGTAGATTTGTTGCAGACCTTGATTGCAATACTGTGCTTGCCTTTATACGCACTGCGTTTTTATATCAAGCTTGGGTCTTGCGAGAGTCGATATACAACCACTTGGTCCGTAAACCATCCATTCAAGCTACAATATCAGTAAGATTTCAAAGGGCCGTGTGAGAAAGTGGTCAAGCTTACGATTCTGGGTAGAGGATTCCTCTTCCGACATTTCGATTAGCTATGGATCTTCCCTATAATGCGCTGCGAGAGTGCACACCTCTACGACACGATCAGGCCCGGCGAGGAGATGGCAGGAGACTGAGGAGTTATGAGGATATCTCTTTTCTTGCCGCCAACCCTGCTAAGCCAAGAAAGGGGTATTATCTCTACAAGGTTCACTTTTCTGGAGTTGTTTGTGGAACTCATAATTCACGTTGGGAAGCTTATGGGTTTGGTGATACGTACTTCGATGATGAAGAGAGTATAGAGACTTTCACATTTGACCCTGATACACCAGAACAGTTGCATCAAGATCCTTTAAGAGCCGGCCTAGCTGCGGATATACCACTCATGGACCCACGCCATTACTTTCTCGATCTTCTTCTGGTCCGCAGCAAACGAATCAAAGCAGAATGGCGCCACCTTCTTGATAATATGGACGAACTCATAGAAGAATCCGTAAGGCTACATCCTTTCTTTGGCTCCTCTCTAATGACAGGATCTTTTCGTTGCTCAATAATGGCCAAGCCTGACGTGAGTGATTTTGTTCATAGTTGGACTGATTATCTTTCAGGAGCTCTACTTCCGGGGCAAATTTATGCGTACTGATACGCTTCACCTACCTGATCCCGAGGTTAATGATCATCTTCTGCTTTATGAAGCTGTTCATCATTGGATCAATCATACCGATAAACTACTAGTGGCTCTAGA